TTTTATTAAAGAAATCTGCTAGGGTTATAGTAGAAGCTGACATAATGACATCCTCTATACTTTATTGTTTAATAGTTTAAATTGGTTGAATGTAGAAAAACGAATTCAGTATAAAAAGGCAATATTTGTATTGAAATCATTTAAGGATATGGTTCCTTACTGTTTACGAGAAAGCTTTCATTTTACTGATAATCATAATTATAATTTACGTTCAGCTGATGAAAAACTATTAAAACTTCCGAAGCGAGAAACAATTTTTTTGAAGAAACTTTTATATATTTTGGTTCTCAAATATGGAACAGTTTTCCAAATGAAATAAAGATGAGTAATACACTTGTATCTTTTAAAACAAAATATTTAAGACACTGGTCTAGATGTGTAAAAATTTATAATAGTAGAATAAATTATAAGGTTTTTACATGGTCAGTAAGAAAAGGTAATAATAGAAGAAAAAAACTGGAGTTATCATGTAATGGATATGTTGAAATTGTATGATTATGTAATATTCTGTAATATTAATAATTTTACACTTGATAAAAATATTATTTCAAAGATCGAAGAAAAAATATTTGATAAATATAAAAATTACTGGTGTATAAGGGTCGCTTCATATGGTCAAGGTTATAAGTTAAGAACATATAAGCTTTTTAATATAATTAAGAAGATGTGATATGAGTGCCAATGAGACAACTACCCATCCAAGTCACAATGTGAATCTTCATTTTGTATTGAACCATATTCGGAACAGAATTTACCACTGCGGTATCGTAGTGCTTTTTTCAAAATTTATTTGTGGAGTAGCACCTTTAAGAATTGGAACTGGTCGGTATGAAAGAAAAGAAGTTAATGAACGAACCTAGAGCTCTGGAATGAACCTGTTTTAACTGTACTAAAGAAATAGAAGATGAAAATCATGTGATTTTAAAATGTCCTGTATACATGTATAACGATTTAAGACAAAATATTTTCACTGTAGTGTCACTTTTTAATAATGATTTTATGGAATTAGCTGATGAAGATAAATTTATATTTTTATTCAGTAATAATATGATTTTTAATATTGTTGCCAAAACCAGCCACACTATTTTAATAAGAAGTGATTCTATAATATAAAGATAACTTGTATTTAAAAATATTAGAATTTTTATGAAAATTTGTATTTTATAATTTGTGTAAATGTATATATTTTAATAATATCATGAATATAGTCTCTTATAATTCTTTTGAGAATGGCACATACATTGTAACTTGTTTATTCTTGTTTTTTTCTTAATCGGAAATGTATTTTACTGTATATAATATATATGTTATGTATGTAGCGAGACTTAAATGAACTATTGAATCTTGATTCTTGAATCTTCAATTTTTTCATGAAGAAGGCAGATTAAATTATATGCTTTTTCATTAATACCTATATCAAATTGTATATTGTGTAATAACTATATATCATTATAGTATTGTATGTATGTACTTTATGAATATGTTATTATCATTTTGAGGACTCTCAGGAAGATTAGTTTTAACTAATAGGATTATCCTCTTGAAATAAATATTATTTATTTATTAATTTATATTATTTATATGATTAACCTCTTGCTTTGTTACGTAATCAAATCTGTCGCTTGTGTGTTAGGCTGATTGAGCGCTAATTGAAATGCCTTAATGATTAACTATTCTTTACAGTAAGAAAACTTAAGAATTATGAAAAGCTGTGACTTTATCTATTATTTATCAAAAGTATTATCTTGAAACAAATTTCCGTCATTGTGAAAATATAATGACACTTAAGAATAAGTCTTTAATTGAAAGAGTCTCATAAGTCAGCTGTGGCTGGATACCGATATTTAAATTTAACTTATTGGCAGTTAGATTTAAATCTTTTTTGTATTTTTATACTTATATTATGATGTGTGATATTGTTTTATATTGGCATGTGACACCGTATAATAAAACATTCTGTCTGTCTGTCTTAATTGTTATTTATAGCACAAATAGCACAAAAAGCTTTGTTAACAAAAATTGTTACATGTTAATAAAATTGAGACATTTATTTCGTTACCCAATTTGTCATTAAATAATTGAATTTATTTATTTTACATAAAATTTAAATGCAAATCTTATAAATAATTTAATAAGAAGTGATGTCCACTTTTGCCCTGTCACACATATCTTTTGTGTCAACAGTTTATAGTTTTTGTATCGCCTGTGACAAAAGTTGCAGAATGCCAGACATATGAATTATAATCTGGCGGTTTAAAAGCTATACATTTCAAAAGGTAGAAGACCTGGATGCTTCATACTTTGTATATAGATACCTTATGTTACGAAGTTTCCGTATGTGATATGTCCATTGTCCTTGACCCCATTTTCATGGTTCAGTGACTGCTTAATTTTTTTTTTCAAATGAAATACTTATAATGATATAATAACTATATTTGGTATATGGGTTCCTTACAACGTCTACATGTGCATCAGATAAGGACCTCATTAAAGGATCAGTGATCAAGGTTAAAGTTACGTGGTCAAGTCCGTATTTCCTAAACTATAAGCATTAGGTCAACTATATTTGGTGTAAAGAGTGAATGTAGGGTGTATATGTCCGATTGGCAGGTTTCATATCAGCTTATTAACCTCAATTTCATGGTTAATTGGACAATGCTTTTTTTTTTGCGGTGTGACCTATTTCACAAATACTATAAGCAATAGGGCAACTATATTTGGTGTATGGAATGATTGTAAGGTATACACGTCCGTCCAGCAGGTTTCAGCTGACCTTGACCTCATTTTCATGAAATATTGGACAATGTTTAGTTTTTGTGGTTTGATCTATTTCTCAGATACTTTAAGCAATATGTTTATTATATTTGGTGTATGGAACAATTGTAAGGTGTACATGTCTGTCTGGCATGGGTCATCTGTCGGTTACTTCTTTTTCATAGAACATTGATAATATTAAGCTTATGCGATACCTGTAGTAAAACCTTCATATTACAAACTTTCTACATAAATTCAATATTAAGTAAAACTTGCGAGACATTTCAGCGTGTGCACTCTTTTTATGCGTAGTGTTTTTTTTAACTTGTTTGTCTTTTCTTCGTCTTTCGTTTTTTGTCATGGCATTGTGACCAATTTGTTTGTCGCTTCTAGCATACGTATATTTGAGTTTTTTTGAGAAACTAGCTGTCTATAAGTCCAAGTAGCTGAAAAGTGTACATACTTTATCCACGTCGGAATATTTCAGTGATAAAAAAATAACAAATATAAAATATAAATTCAAAGTCTGATTGACATGCAGAATTGAAGGAACAAAATATAAAGTTACCAAAATGCAGAACGTGTGGTTTACTGGTTAAAACATCATTCCTTTGTTAACTTTTGTTAAGGCTAATACTAGTATAATAAATCGGGATGGGGTTGGAGTGTGGTAATTAAACCTGTTGAACTTTGAATTGAGCAAATTTTGGTTTTATATTTAAATAAATTTATAAGCATTTATAAACCTATAACATGAAATCAAACGGACCTTGAAAATTCGATTTCACTTGCTTGATATCTATTTACGTTTATATCGGGTTATCTGACCGTCGGCAGTCTTCGGGGTTAATCAGATGGCGTCTAGAGTAAAATATACACGAAATGCTGATACATATTATCGAATCCATGCATTGTTGATGGTTTTATTTTAGACTTTTTGTAATTAGGATATACGTTTTAGTATGTAATAAATCAAATATGAGAATTTGAGTCAAATCGGTGAACATGAATTTGACAGCTAAATTAATGCCCCTTTAATAAATAATGTAAATATAAGGATTATTGTTAATCGTACCATAAAATACATGTACATGTGTAAAAGTTGTACAATTCAGATCGATAACGGCTCGAAATGATAATAAAAATATTGAAATATATAAAATCAACCATATTTAAAACTTATAAATCGAACAGTTTTTTTTTCATAGCAATGTGAATTTCTTCCCACTTATGATATTTTAGTGTTCCCTTAGTATCTTCCGCCTCTTTTTGATTGACCGTATATTGATAATTATTTCTCTTTATTATTTTGATAAAAATAGTTAGCTTAGTATACCTCCAACTACCTATTATATCTACTATGAAATCGTTCTGAATATGTATTATCTGTAGATGTTTTTTGGTTATTAGTGTCGTTTGGTTGCTGTCGTATTGACTCGACCAACGTCTCTTTCATTCATTGAATATTGAAAAGCGTCTTGTATTCATATGTTATACTTATTGACTGGGTATGAGTGGAATAGTAAGTTTATTGTCCCCCGAGGTGCAACCATTACCCTGATGCCGAGCCGAGGGCAATAGTTAATTGTATCCGAGGGGACAATAAACTTACTATTCCACGAATATCCAGTCAGTTAGTGTTTTATTATACCGAAAGAAACAAAAGACAATTAATGTCGGGGCTAAATCAACTATTGTAATATAAAAAGCAGAAACACAACCATACAGTTTAACGTTTACTTCATATATATATATTCTGAATGCTAAGGCTTCGTCCCGCACTGACGTCAACCCTAGACACAATAGGTAAAACGTGACGTCGTAACTCCTGCTGTATTGTCAACATCCTCCAATCCCGTAGCTGCAGTTGAAATTCCGCGAAATATAATGACGCTTGCGGTCAACTAGTTTCATCGAGGGCAAATAGTTGGAAACCATTGACCGGTCAAATAGTTCAACGCTTGCAATTTGAAAATTAGTGAAAATATTGTGCACTTATTTTATATAGAAAATGATAACTGATTTATAATAAATTGATATAAATGATTCCCAATAAAAATAACTACATTATTTTGAATCTTACAAAAATTAACATTATTAAAAATATGAAGAATAATACTGACTAAAAAATTATAATATGAATTGAGTAAAATGTTGACAGTATATGTTAGGTTAAATTTCGCTATTTTTAACCATTTTACCATTATTATGTTTTGTGTATTGATTATACAATTGTATTTCTGTGTATTTTGTTTCCTTGTACACTTGTGTGTCAGAGGTTCAATTAGTGTGGTGTATTGGCACGTAATTACTGATCATATCAATTAAAAATACAATCATTGTTTTTAATTACGGGTCAAACCGTGTACATTAATTCTTACACACGCAGGTAGGTTTATATATATATATATCCGATATGAACAAATTTGAGACGTTGAACATTTAATATTAAAGTCGGGTACAATACATGCATGTGTCACTTTCCTCTTTTCATTTTCTTGAGTATAGAAATATAGTATTTCATTATGAGTTTACTTTATTTGTGTGACTTTTTAAATTGATTAGCTTCAGATTCCTTACACCAAATAACTGTCATTTAAATGTTGTAATAATTTGAAAAATGATCCGCATATTCAAAGTGTTGTCATTGATTTAATTTCATTGTTTACTTTTAGATAATCAAACTACCCCTTTATTGGATAGATATGAGTATTAATAAAGAACTGCCAAATATGATGTAAATTTCAAGGAGTAACGTAAACAAGGACATAAAGTGCTATTAGGAAGTCAGATAAGGTGTGTCCCACGTGGGCAAGGTGTATTTAAATTAAATCGGGTGCATATGTTTTTCATTTTACTTTAAAATGTCGATAATGATCAGTGTAAAGTTTTTGTACCTGTTGTGTGCTGTCGCCCTTGTTGATGGACACGGAAGGTTGTGGGAACCTCCTTCAAGATCGTCTATGTTTAGGAAAGGATTCCCGACACCCCCAAATTATAACGACAATCAACTATCATGCGGAGGATTTTCGGTAAGTGAAATTAGACATGTCTCTTTTATTATTGTAACTCTACATTGTACTTCGATTAAAAAAAGACTATAACCAAAATTTTTATAATGGGATTGATGTAAATATTGTTAAGTTATTATAAGCGAAAACAAACATTGCAAGATTAAGTCAACTTGCATGCAAATCCAATATTTCTAAATGAAGAATTCGATTTCTTTTATTTGTTTCGTTTGAAAGTAACAACAAAATTTAAGAAAAAAATACAAATTAAAAAAAGGAATCTTCTCATAATTATTTTTTTTTTTCAATATATTAACAAGTTGAAAACCGGCGTGTTTCAAAAAATAAAAAAACAAAATGAAAATGTATGAAACTAGATATATTTCGATCGTTTAATATGATTGAAGGCCTAGTATTTATTTGATTAAATATAATCGTTACGGGCACAAAGGAACTCTTAGTTCAAATATTTTGTTTACAAACATGCTAGTAATTACATTGAAATTGTGTTAATGATTGTTTCAAGCAAATATTCACTTATACGTGTATCAGTTTAAAAAAAGAATGAATTTCATTATCCAAAACACCACTATTGTTAACGTATCGAACATTAATATTACTGCATATACATCCGCAAATCAAATAAATTCGTATTAAGACTCCATGAACAAAATTTGGTTCCTGCAAATCTGATATATTAATCTTCTTGTGGCCGTCTGTTAAATCAACACTGGAACTTACATAAAAAAATACATAGAAATATTAGCACAATACGTATATTATAATTTTAGGCCGAGGGACGTATATCTAACAATACACGTCCTTGTTATAGGGAAATGAAAAGATGCAATTTCAAATAAAAAGATCCAACAATATACAAAAAAAAAGAGAAAGATAATTCTGTAACCAACTGAAAAAAAGAAGAAACAAGAACATTAAAACAGTTGATTGCGACAAAAACAAAATGTTAAACTTTAAACTGAACAATGAAATCTCCATTAGAAAACCAAAATAAACGGTTAATCCGGAATACGTAAAGGTAAATATACTTTGAACTGCGTGTTGTCACTTCTAGCAAGGGTGTCATAGTAGAATAAAACAATGTCCTCATCAGAATAAAGATCTTTACATGTGAGAACATTTGTGCTAATGAAAGTTTAAAAAAAAATTTTTAGTTGTGTATAAAGCTCCTTGTATTCTTTGTCATTTTTGGTGTATAAGCTCTTCGGTTTTTTTTAATAAGTTGTTGATTTTCAAATATTTTAGCCTCGCGCATCACTGAAGAGACTTTTATTATCGAAATGCGCATCTGGTGCAGAAAAATTGGTCACGTTAATGATATCATAAGCTCACCAAACTTTACGAATAATGAGTATTCATAAAATCTGCAGTTCGATAGGTTTGAGGACATAGTGAACAAAGCGCAAAAATGGTGTCACCGATTTCGACTTGTCCTCTTACAGTTGGCTTTTCAAAGACAAAAAATTAGGATTACGACAAAATGGTGTTATTTCATTACAAAAAGACTTAAATCGGTAAATTTAGATTTACATTTTGAAGTTCCAGATTAACTTTAGGAAATTATGAAAACGTTGTCAAAGTTAACGAATTAGTGTTAATATATATACGAAAAGGTACAATGTAGTTACCGCGTTCAAAGCTCTGGATGTAATTTACTGACACTATAACTCCCTTTTTTTGGCTCTAATGACTGTCGTATGAATACAGTAGATAAATTACTATTATTATTACTGGTATTTGTCGGCATAAATGGGATAGAACTGAAAACGTGTTCTTTTTTTTCAATAATATACAGTGTAATTGCTGAAAAGTTAATTCCATATAATAAAAAAATATATAGATTCATATAAAGAAACTAGACATGTCGGACATATTTGTTTTTCGTAAATTGTTTTGTTGTTAGTTTAAAAGACTGTTGATTTTCTCGTTTGAATTGTTTCACATTTTTCATGTCGGGGCCTTTTAAATCCGACGATACGATATGGGTTTTTCTCATTGTTGAAGATATACGGTGTCCTTTAATTCCTTATATCTGTAACAGTGAACCTGTAAAATCAGTGATTTTGTAAAATCTCCGTGAATTTCATTAATTTTGTTAAATCACTGAACTGATTAGTGATGTTAACAGTTTTTTTCAGAAACAAAAGATTTCAGCCTCCTCTGTATTAAAACCTGATGCCTGTTACATTCCAAACATTTCGTTTTCACTAGAAATTTTTCTAATATTTTCCTGTTTCTGTTTATCTTAATTTCTATTTGCGGTACAATTACTTTTTTTTTGCCGTCTCTGGAATAGATATCTCTTTTTTCGATAGAAGAACTAAATTTCAAACCTTAGGTTTTAACAAATTGTTTATATTGTTTTCAGTTATTGCTTCCCAGTCAAACAAAAATGTAAACAGTTAACGCAAGCACAACCCTATTCAAAATTCATGTAAACGTGTTAGAAAACTCCAAAAATCATTTCGCTGAAGAAAAACTTATAAGTTGTACACAATGCCATTAGGTCATGAAGTTTGTTAATAGTCTCATGGGGAGGGGTAAGTGAAGCTTGGGTATAAATATTAACACCAATCAAAACATTTGTTCTTGGCTCAAAACATATATTTAAACGTTTTGACCACTCTTCTGAATATAACCAAAAACTGCGATGTTAGTAAGGTCAAAGTAGGCGAATCAATGTCGCAACAATACCTTGTAATTCGCTGTTTCAGAATCTAATGTGTTCTGGGTAATATTTTCAAAAGCGTACACCAAAGTTGTGTGATTGGCATACAATGTCCCAAACAACTGAAATTCATCCAATGACGTGACGTTGTTTTTCTTTTAGGGTACGAACAATAAAATTACACACGGTCATTTCGATTCTGAAACGACGAAATAACAAAAGATTAAACGCCGTCAACAATGTTTGTTCTTGTTTTGTGCTGTTGCATAATTGTCCGGGGTTTAGGGAGGCTTGGGCGGCCGCTAACTTGTTTAACCCCTCAACATACTTGTGTGCCTGTTCTTTTATTGTTTTGTACAAAAATCAGGCCGTTAGTTTTCTTGTTTGAATTGCATTTACGTTTGTCATTTCGAGACCTTTTGTAGTTTGATATGCGGTATGGGTTTTTTTCACATCTTCTTATTTTTATATGCATAAATCTCTTAAGGGTGTACGGCAATTTGCCGTTTCTTCGTAGTTGGGTAGCCGACTTATACTGTCATGCTTTGCTAAACCAACCACCGGAATCCTTGTAGTGAAAGGGGGATGAACAAGTGCTGAAACAGTTGGCAGTAAAAATAGCAATGAATATTTATGGTCTTTATTCTTCCAACGCGTATTTAAATGAGAAGCTTTTGAGATAAATTTACATCTACAATTTTGAATGACTGTTTCGGGTATGTATGTAACAATCAGAAAGCTTATTTACAACAAAATGTATCCTTACAATGGGAGATAAACCGGATTGAAAACAAAATATTGAGACAGAAAAATTTTATCTGTACTTTACTTTTACATGAAAAAAAATACATCGCCCAAAAAGGGTAAACTTGACTCCAAAATGTCTAGCCCAAATGCTTGGGTACGCTTATTACTTACAATAAACGTCTAGCTCCTCTGACACTGGTGTGTGAAAAGCTAAAACAAAACTTAAGCTAAATACAATAAAGAAATGTTAATTGACCAAGTAATCTGGACATGCGTTTGTTTTCACGACAACTTGTTAATCCGAAAAATGGCAATAGACTTTATTAAAATTGTATGTGCTATTGTGTTAATTGAGCTAGGTGTTCAAATCTGTTAAAATATTGAATATAAATCTGTTAATACCTTGAATAAAAAAGATTTGTTTGTTACATATTTAGTTGATAAATAAAATACTTTGCAGACAGAAATTAAGAAGTGACAAATTCCAATGTAATAATTAAAAACATAAATTCTCAAAACTAATTTATCACTTAATATTTTATAAATTTCCATCAAAATGTTTGTAATTTAACCTTTGCATTATAATAATTGAAGGAGATCACCCAACTTGTCAATAAAAGTAACATGATTTTGTTATGATTGAAGGAATCTTCTTTTCTTGGAATTTCTGAAGCCAGATATCTCTTCCTTTAACATTTTCGGCAACCTCAACTCTCTTTTTTTCATTATCAACACATCGGCATTGAGGAAGAAAGTACACAACAACTTAGGACTTGAATGATATGCACTTTTACAATCGATAAATAAACTGCACATTGACGCATATGCAATTAATCTTTAATATAAACAAACAGCATAAAGTATGTTAAAGAAGGCTGAAAGCTAAATCTACTACATACTAGGTAACTATACATATGCAAGGGTTTGGTCAAAATAACAGATTAAATAAAACGAAAGATTTAAATATCTACAAAGCAAACAAAATAATTAACACGAGTTCCTACTTACCTTGAATGGCAGTGTTTATAAAACCTACACAAATCTGAAAGCGCAGTAAATGATCAAATATTTAAGGAGCCAAACAATGCATAGTCTTCTATTCAAGACAAAAATGTAATGCAAGTTCTAGGGGCACTTGAGAGGGATTAGAGTATTACCTAGCTATGATTTGGAGCCGGACTATGAATTATATGATTGATGGCTTCTTAACGTCTAGCAGCAACAACGATTATACAAATAGTGTATTTACGTCTCACCATTAATATAACAAAAAAATAAAAGAATACATTAATGCATAGAATAATATAAAATATAAATGCCATTCTAAAAAGAATTATGAGAGGCGGGATAAAAAAATCAATGCACAGCTAAATTTTCAAATTTCTTAAAAATATATACAGTTTAGACAAAAAGTTTAACGAAATAAAAAAAACGACGTCTTCTATATAAAAAAAATTATACTGTCACAGTCACTAGCTAGAATAATAGACAATTTCTCAACAAAAAAACAAAAAAAAAAAAAAAAAACAGTTTTGATGTTCTGACGAAACTATTCGCAGGTCACCGTAGTACAATGGACACTAACAATACATGTAAACAGTTCCTCAGTTTCAAACAACTAATAAATAAATAAAATAGATATCATAAATGAAATAATATAACGACCAATAAACAAACTAAAATAAAAATATATACATAAATATACAAACTGAAGGCAAGGAAACGATCATGTCACTTTGTATTTGTTTGTGCTCTATGCAAAAGGTATTTTATTTTAAGCCAGTGAAGACGAAAACGCGCGTCTAACGTTCAAAATTATAAACATGGTATCTTGATGGAAATGTGGTATGCTTGCCAATGAGGCAACTATTCAACTGACCCAAACAACGTAGATTTAAGCAACTATAGGACACTGTACGGTCTTACAACAAGGAGAAAAACTAAAACCGTATAGTCAGCTATAAAAAGCCCCGACATAAAAATATAAAACAATTCAAACGAAAAAACCTTATGGCCCGATTTTTGACAAAAAAAAAAATAAACGAGAGAAAGACAGCAACTCTTCAAAGGCAACACATATTAGTCTTTTAGTTTTTTACTTTCTCTAGAAATTGACTCGCTGACAAAGAGTAGACAGAGCTTCGCTAACATATGGCGGGATTTGAAAAAAACAATTTGCTGCATTAAACTGAATAGAGACTGAAACCGCAGTTCTTACTGAGTTTTTTTTTGGCCTTGCTAAACAGTAACTTGAATTGGCATATCGTTCATTGCTAGCAAACATAAAAGAAATAACTTCGTTTAAACATATTTGTTATTAACTAAATATTTCTGGTAGTTCTTTTTTACACAATAGGCATTTTAATGTTAATATATAATAATTAACGGCTTAACATTTCAATCATTTTATTTGATTGGAAGATATCTTATCTATTCCCTCTGTGCCCTCTTATCAAATCGTGCAAATTAGGACAATTGTTGGTGGTCCACGTGTTTACCCAATATTCAGATGTCATACAGTTTGAAAGATATTAAAATGCAGAATTCTTTTAGTGACTTAACACAGGCGATTTGTTCTCACGGTTACTTTATACTGACACAGGAATTCACCAATAATTACAGTTAAGTTAACTTTTGTTTTGTTTCTTTCTTTATTCGTTTATCATCTTTTTTTTTAGTTGCATTGAAAGGTTATGCACATTTGCCAAATAATACCATTAAGAAAATTAAATGGAAATCTAATTTCCTTGTGTAGATAACATTGCCATGATTAAAATGTAATCAGGGGAAACAGTATTAATTTAATTATTCTTTTCTAAATAACGGAATGGATATGTATAACAATCCAAACTTATTTTACTGAGTTGAGTTTTTGTAACCTTAGAAAGAACTATGCATACACTTTTTCTAGACTAGAAAACCACATAGTTCTATAATCCAAATCAGTTCTTAGGGTCAAAAAGATTGATGTAATGTACATATCATCGGAAGCCAATAAAAAAAAATGTTTGATCAATTGCTGCTTGCAAAAGTCCAGGGGTAATTATTTCATCCATATTTAAGACGAGATCTTAAAGACGTTAAAGAACACCTTAATTGATTTTAAATAACAACAAAGGGAGTAAAAAATACTGTGATAAAACTGATATCTTAAGTCAATTTTAGCGTACAAATTAAAAAAAAAGAAAAGAAAAAAAAGTAAGGTATGAACATATTACAATGATTAACAATTATGTTAAAAATGCATTAAACGTACATACATCGTGCATTTAACATTCAGTTGTATTTATGTTTTTTTATGAAGATTAAAACTAAATCACAATGCATATTCATATTATTTTAGCACCAGTGGAGTACAAATGGCGGGAAATGTGGATTATGTGGAGACCCGTATGACCAAACGCAACCACGACAAAATGAGGCAGGCGGGAAATATGCTACAGGAATTATCTCTGCACACTACACAATAGGACAGGTCATCGATATAAGCGTAGATGTTACAGCAAATCATAAAGGGTGGTTTGAATTCAGACTTTGTCCGAATAATGATGTAAAGAAGCCAGCGACACAAGCTTGTTTGGACAAATATTTGTTGCAACTAGCAGACGGAAGTGGCACAAGGTACGAATGTTTATCAATACTATATCGGTCTCTTTTTCACCCCGCCTACGATAGTAGAGGGGCATTATGTTTTCAGATATTCGGGTCCGTCCATCCGTTAGTCCGCCTCAGTGTTCGTCCCGTATAAGGTTACCGTTTTGATTGAGGGTAGTTTGTGGTCAGTTCAACTTCAAACTTAGTACATATGTTCATTATGAATTGAACTATAATTTGATATACTAGTATTTCAATGAATATGGAAAAAACGATAGTGCGAGAGCGGCATACCATCCTATGGACACATATTCTAGTGTGTAGCTTACGATTTGTGTGTGTTTGTTTGACACGCTAACACATACAAATTGCAACTTTGAAGTATGACTGATAAGACTGAAGAAATTTCCAACGATCAGATCACGCAGCACAATTGCAGTATACTAGTATATACTATAGTAATGCAAATATCTGGAGTAGTGTGGCTAAATATTTGGTTCAGGCATGCAGATAGTAATTTTGGCACCCAACTACTAGTATTCCAAATACTTATAATTTGTGATCATCATAGCTATTTTAACTAATTGCAATTCACAATAAAGTACTCAGTAGAATTTTTTTGAGGATTACTGCTGGGTTTAAACATGCTGATTTCCAAACTCACGACATATTTATTTCAGTCTGGAATACGATTCATCACGCATCACGCTTTAACGTTTAAACACCGTGACATTCTCACTACAACGCTTCTTCTACAAAACCTTTTCCACAGATAAAATTCTCAAAATAGTAAAAGTATATTACACTTCTCAAAACAGTAAAAGTAGGATTCCTTAACTATGATAACTCATCGCCGTAGTATCAGTAGCCCATGCGATTACATATAAATACCATAACAACGATGAACAAACAGTCCAGCCTTTGATGTGTGATTTGTTACATTAGTTTTAAATCTCTTTTAGTGTTATATCTATTTTTTATGATTTAATATCATATTTAACGACAGGAAACATTATATGGGTTGTGGATTAAAAGAGACGTATTTAAATTTGAGGACTTCAGTGATTTGAACTATTTTTGAGGTCAAAGTAAAGTACTATCACATGTGTTGACTTTCAATAATGTGTATGGATGCATGTAAGCGGACATTAATGATTTAAACCCTTTTAATTAACAGTATATGGATGTAATACATGTCGATTAAATTTGTCACTCACAGACACTTCAATATTAAACGTAATCTTCAGGTTGTTCAAATATTTTAAAAATCCATACACAAACTAACTGTTTGAGATGGCAGATCTTTTATAGTACATACGTCTGTTTACCATCGCTCAGTTTGACTTGGACGATTTAGAACTACATGTTCATACATGCACTGTGTAGATACCAGTCCATTGTGCATAGCAATTATATAAATTATAAACCAAAGAATGAATGCTATCCTTAAAATATATCTTTTCAACTCATTACTTCAAATTTAAGCGTATTTAAAAAAAACAACTTTCTTTTAAATCGACGATAACTGCTATTGCGTGAAAACGGTTTACATGTAACGGACTGTAGACCTGTTTTGTAAAACACGTTTTAACATGTCGTTCACATTCAAATATGCTCTATTTCTCAATATTGTCCGCTGGACGTTTTGCTTAACATTTTGGAAAGCGTACAATTGATTTCAATATTGAAAACACTTTTTTCATATCGACCAAACGATACTTGATTGCTCTAGCAAATCGTTATACTTTTCTTATAGTTTATAAATAAGAATGTAGTTTCCTTCTATGTAATAATTACACAACAAAATGCTACAATGTATGGGTTATCGTGTCAAAAAAAACTTTGAAAGACATACATAGTAAATTATTTAAGTTTATGTCATATCTTCGCAATGCTGATTAGTAAAAATATTTAAAATACACCATAACGACGTTTCCTAAAAAAAATAGAAAGAAAAATGATACAAAAATATACAGCTACCTTGAAACAAGACAAGTAATGAAAATGAAATACACCGATAAGTTTCAAGCAAAATGCAAAATTAATGCAAAATAAGTTCTGAATTATTTTGTAAACATTTGTTACTAATTGCAGGGATCATATTGATACGCGTGTGGGCATGCGTACAAAGAAGTGGATACTTCCTTCTGGTCTGACATGTACCCAGTGTGTTTTACAATGGAAATGGCATGTTGGTGAGTAATTTTGTCCAATGTGATAATGAATAAGAAATATTCTGATATTTAGAATTAATAATTGTGTACAAATAAGACAAGGCGTTCCCACTATTTCGTGAAATTTGATGAAACTTTCTCTTTACGCAGGAATTTGCTTATGAGATACATGTAACAGTATTGTATTTGAAGCTCGATTTTCTAGAGACAACAATATATTTTAACTCTAAAATACATGATAAGATGTTTTGAAATCTATTTCGATTTGAAACTTTTTTTATCATTTCCTTTTTACAATAATAAAAAAGAGGGTTGGATCAATTTTTCACGAAATCATGGCAAATCAGGGGACTTTTTCAAAAGCCCTTCAATTTTTAATTAAAACCCACATTATTAGATTCATATGTTTACTGTAAGGTATTATCAACATCTCTGCGTATTTCCGAATATTTCACTTGAAAGTTATCAACGTGTAAAGATAACTCAAAACTGCATGTATTCTTGCTAGATTTTAGAAAATTTGAGCAATTATCTAAAACTGGCGAGAAGGATTTTCTTAACCAAAACCAATATTTATTGGAAGTTATAACATAAATTATTTCTTTCAGATACACCATAATTTATTTAAGTTAAAGTCTTCCTTCTATGCAAATTTGCAATATTTTCGTTAACAGCAATATATGACTGAATATATAAGGAAATACAGAACAATATTGAATACGGATTAAGTTCTATGAATATATCATATATATAAACTTCGAATTCCACGGAGTTGGTCTTAAAAACGTTTTGATTTTGTCCCAGTTAGTGAAACAAATTCAGGGGCAATTTGCCCAATATATGTAGAAAAAAGACAATGTAATTGAAAATTAAACCGATGTCCCCAAGAAAACAGGAGTTTGCATGCCTAAACATCCTCGCCGCTTCCTTCCTTCATACAGTTTTATACTAACAGTTACAATCAATACCAGACGATGTATTTTATATATCGAATATTTAATGTTATTTGTGTAAGAAGGCACGAACAAATCAAAAGAAAAATAATTGCATGAATTTCATTCGTGTAAAAGCTGTGAGTACTTTTCGGAATACACACCAACGAGATTGAGAAATAAGGGTAAAATGAAATTATAAAACTACCCTCTGTTATCTCTTGATTTTGTTGACTATAGGTGATTTTACGAAAATTACAATGATCGTTAATATTTAGCAATAAACAAACGAAATATTACTGAATATGATTATTGTTCAATTAAATAGGAGCTAATCTATCCATGTTCTGCAAAAAAACGCATACATTCGACTGATTTTATATATTTTATATATTTTAGAAAAGTTAAGGTAGCTCTATAGGTACCTTATACTTAAGTATAATCTTAGGCGTTTTCTTAGTATAAGGGGTTTTATGCATACCACTAAGTTGTGTGGGCTTGGCTTAAACCATCTAAGATTTTACTAAGGAAATACTGAGTTTAAGATTTTTTATGCATACCACTTAAGTTAAAAGGGCGGAGTTTCCTTAACTTAAGTGTTTACTAAGGGAAATCTTAAGTTAAGTAGCTTTTTGCATACGGGCCCTGTTATCTCAATTATAATGCAAATGAAAGAAACACTGCTAAATGGTTCATTGAAATTCGCCACCAGACTTCTGCGCTTGGTGCGCATAATTTTGATTTGTATGTCAATGGTTAAGGTGAAAGCTGTGTTAAAATATTGAAATCTGGACAATTTTTTTTGTTTTTCAAATAATATTACAAAAAATGTTGGATGAGTGTACAGCCTTCATTGCACTCAACACAAAAATCTGTTTGTTCTACTACAAATTCGGATCGCTACTGGGCACATGCACCTATGGCGCTGTTGTAATTAGTTATTACTTAATGACAAATGGGATTTGAAATAAACTGTGTTTAGTATGAAATAGACTAAGGCTTTCAAAAAGGACAAAACTTTATTTGAAAGTTACCCCCTGTTTAATGAAAACAAAATAAAATCTACTTATTTTTAATTTCTTTACCTCAAATGTAAAATGTTCAGACTCCTAACACTTACTAGAACAATATAAAATTAAAATTTGCATATTCTTTGACATTTTAATAAATTTTCAACAAATAGGTAACAGTTGGGGTGTATCTCCGGACGGAAGAGGATGTATCGGATGTGGGGCACAGGAAGAGTTTTATGGTTGCTCGGACATTGCAATAGAAGATCCAAATGGATCAGGGATTCAAACCACACTTCCACCAATAGTGGCTGCAAGCACAATCACCACGTCAACCACAACGTCGCCTACAACGACGACCACCAAACCTACAACAACTACGACAACCACAATCACACCTACCACTACAACGACCACGCCTACAACAACAACGACCACGCCTACAACAACAACTACCACGCCCACAACGACAACAACCAAGCCTACGACAACAACCACGCCTACGACAACAACCACGCCTACAAAAACAACGACCACTCCTACTACAACAACGCCTTTTCCTACTACAACTACGCCTACAACAACTACAACAATGAATTCAAATCCATACTTGGGTAAAACCTGCGGACCAACTTTGGTATGGAAATACACACCCGGGATGACCTGGTGGTGTACTATAAATTGCAATGGTGGTTATTGTCCGGCGACACATTGTGTGTGTACATAAAGATCTGCTCGGACTTAATTCGAATCCATTTATTAATGCCCGGTACATGTTCCGTTCTACAGAACATACTTTATTGTGTTTAAGTGCTATTATTTGTTGTTTAATTGTTACGATTTGTCATTTAATTTTTTTACGATAAAATAACATAAATATTTTTGCAATTGATATTTGAATAAAAATCCGTCCATCTTGATAACATACATAAAAAATTGTACTCAACCATTTGTTTTAAGAAACATTTTCATGCTTTGTCTCAAAAATGATACAAGACTCTTTGTATATATTAAGACAGAAAAGGGCTGCCACTTTGCTTAACAGGTTGATTTCATCGAACACAATTGGCCTTTAGAGTTTTTGGTTATCCTGTTTAGACGCTTTGGTTTTGGTGCTTCTAAACGTTTTAAGTTAATAGCTTCTCATTTCTGATTGAGCTTATAAAAAACTAAATTGATAATATTTTTTTCAAATGGAAATTTATCAACATAATTATGTATGTAAGTTGTTTTGATTACGTTTGTTTTGTCAACGTGTGATCGTTCTTCCGAACAGAAATTACTCTGGGAACTTTGTTATAAACGAAGCTGTATCATCTGTTCCCGTTAGAAAACATATTCTATACCCTTTATTCCGTCAGGAAAAAATACTGATATATTCCTTCCAGTTGAAATTATATTCCTGAATATTTCTTCTATTTAGAACTAATACTATTCCATGACAGTGTATTAAAAGGTATTGAATACTTTTTAGATGATATATGTACATTTGTACGCTGACTTACTTACATTTTTCCAAAAGTGCAATAAATCCAGCGGTAGCAAGTGAAATGGGTAAAACTTGGCAATCCCATTTGTAAAAATAAAATTGTTACTAGAACATGATCTCTGCTCCAAAATAGGTTAGTTTCTGAAAAAGCGTCTGAATGAACATGACGTGTTTTATTCACTATTTTCTAGTAGATTGATTACAGCTCTAAAATCAATGCAATACAGATTTTATAGTAAAAAAAGTACACAAACCATTAAAAGTAAGATGCCTCTTCCTTCTCTGCTAGTAGACTTGATAATCATAGCTGTTTGGAATACACTATTCAACTATAAAAAAGGAAAGTCAGAAGCAATACCTCAAAACGTATTATATATCGGTTTAGGTTTGTTGTTGCTGGATTGATGTCTCATTGACGTACACCCGACGTCTTCCTTCTTAAGACTTAATGACAATTCAAAGTATTGTATATATGTAACACTCCCAAACGTGTCCATCCCCCCAAACGTGTCCGATTCCCCCAAACGTGTCCATTCTCCCCAAACGTGTCCGTTATATTCAATATTGCCCAAACGTGTCCGATTTCATAACCCCCAAACGTGTCCGATAATTGTTTTTCGCCAAAACGTGTCCACTGTTAAACGCCAGAACGTCTCACGTCTTTTAGCGCTAATACATGTACAAATGACATCAATAACGTTTACGGCAATTCTATGATGGGGGAAACAGTTGATGAAGTGGCCATTTATTATCATTAGTTTGTTCAATGCCGGTTGTTAATGATTATCATAATTGCAAATTTAATCTGTAACATATGAATTAACTTTTGACTGAAATGCAAGTTGCAAGTATTGCATTCTGATTTAGAGCGAACATACAAATAATTTTAGTACAGTTGAATTAATCGTTTACCAAGTGAATTATTTTGTACTAATAAATTCTGATGATGCCTTTTATATTAAACCGAATATTGCACGGCGGGCTTTCCGCAGAATTGACTTCCCTTTTTTCAACAGTTCTGGTATTTTAAAAACTCTTCAAATCAAAAGTTTACTGTTTATCAGGTTTTTTAATAAATTTTAGGTTTCGAGCATCACTAAAGACACACAAACAAGAGACATAACGTCCAGTGCCAAATATTTCATGCATTATTTGAACGACATCATGTTAACAATAAATACTGTACATAGGTTTTATTATCATACCGGGAATTTAGGATTAAGCCTAAATTTTTACGGTTATTCGGGATTAACACTAGTTGGGGTTTTAATCTAAAAAAATTAAGAGCCAGTAACAACCAATTTTTTATGACTTCAGTAAGAAACTACTTCAATCTCCGTTATGTAAGAGGCCGTTTTAAATAAAAGTTGCGGAAATTAAAAAAAAAAGAATGTTGCCTTCCAAAATACAACTGGTGGCACCATGAAAGAGTGAATTGCTACACAGGTTTTAATGCGCAGAGAGAGTGACATTCTCCCTACACGAGGTATTTGATTTAATATCTACAAATTAACTGAGCATGGCTGCTTACATTTACATCCAACATAGCCGAACATATTGACACTTTTACCCAGATTATACTGCCGGTTAAAAAAAGACCTAAAGTAATTTATTTCAATTTTTTTAATGAAATAGTAAAATGAGTATACGTTTATGAAAAAGCAATAACCAAATAACCTACGAATTTATAATATGGACACGAATGATAGTTCCAGTAAAGGAAAAAAATTAAGCTTGATATGGACACGTTTGGGGGATTGGACACGTTTGGGGTATTGGGCACGTTTGGGTGTTTATACAAATGACACGCTTTGGCGCCCTTTTACATTAGGACATGTTTTGCAGTTCAGTGACGTCATGTGGACACGTTTGGGGGAATCGGACACGTTTGGGGGGAAGGACACGTTTCTGAGTGTTACATATTAACTTGTGGTATATTAAGAGTAGATACATAATTTTATGCCTGTCCCGAGTCTGGGGCCTCAAATTCAGTGGTTGTCGTTTGTTGCTGTATATCGGAATTGTTTTTCGTTTGTTGTTTTCTACATAAATTAGGCCGTTGGTTTTCTCGTTTGAATTCTGTAACATTTTGTCATGATGGGGACCTTTTAAAGCTTACTATGCGGCACTGGTTTTGATCATTGTTGAAGGCCGTACGGTTACCTAAAATTAACATCTACGTCATTTGGTCTCTGGTTGATAATACCACGTCTCTTTTTTATATGGTTTCAATGGATATCGATATGGTCGCTTTTATTGAAGCTATTGCATGGAAAACGTATAAATAAAAGAATTTTGGGTATCAGTCAACGAAACAGCAGCCCAACGACAAAAATAATCAAACGACATCCAGAGGGCAGCTAACAGCCTATAACGATAGGCAGGCGTCTATACTAGAAGTCAACCTCTAAATCGTCCGGAGTCTATAAATTTAAAGTTATTGATTGGCTGTTGATATGAAATTAAGAAAAAAAATTAACTTGAGGAAATAATTAAAGCTACTTTTAAAGTCTACTTTAAGATATTAAGGTACCAACTCCCTCAGTAAAAGTTGACCTGATGAATGAAGCTATTCTCTTTAGGTTCCCTTTTGGTCATAAAGCTGCTAACGTTTCTACATATTATTACATCTCTGAATTTTAAATGATTATGCTTGAGCGTACCTGATGAAGGTACATCCAGATTGAAATAGTTTCGGACGCACGGAATTTATAAAGTGTTGTTTTCATTATACATTGACTAACAACTAGAAATGTCTGGCAGGTTGAGTACTCGTTTCTAAATATACAACAAATCATTAGGCAAACTATCCAATTTTATTAACAAGTTGATGTAGCTTAAATTCAGTATCTACAGCACATGAAGTATTTATCACCCGATCAGTATGATATTCAAGAGTTGTGACTATCAGGAGTTTCAAACTGGAGAAATGCTTCATATTACCAACTGTACAAAACTACTGAAATAAAAGTTCCTTATTTCAAAACTGAAGCCATTTTGTTTTTGTCAATCTTTTTACAGGTGGTCTTGTAGTGTGCTCGCTTATAGTGTGGGAGGTTATGGGTTCGATTCCCTGCCGGGTCAAACTTAAGACTTGAAAATTGGTATTTGCTACTTCTCCACTAAGCGCACGATATTTTTGTTAGTAAGATCAGGGACTGGTCTGCTCGGAGTTAGAATAATGTGTCCTGTTACCTTGTTAACTAACACGTTTAAAACCGGTTCAGTGTGTCTGTCTATTACAAAGCAGTATTCATATTACACTAACATCTTCTCGTACTGAATTTGCACAAAATTTGCAACTGGACATTAACCAGCTAGCCATGAACATCATCGATCCATACAACAATCTTTAATGATGTATTTCTAGGAAACTAACGTTAAATCCAATGACAGTACTTTTGGATAAAAAAGAGCAGAATTTGAAATTGCTAAATTCAATACATTGTATATGTAGATACAACAATATTACCGAAGCAAGAGGCTATTCAGAGTCGAAACAACCATGAAAAGAAGACAAAAACTACAACGTTGATTTAAAAGTGCACATGGAAACACACTTAGATATTAAAAAAAAAAACTTCAGATAGTTTATATATTAACAAAGCCAATTGAACATTTTTATAGTTCCTCTGATCTTTCGTGTTGAAATATGACATTTGATGAGTTTGACTAAACGCATGCAAAAAGAATATTTACATAATAAAAATTAATTTTACACAGTAGTACATCAGACATCAGACAATCATGCCGCTGCTGCAGGTTATGTTATTTTACTGCTTTTCTCTCACTGACTTATTCAAACTTTGATGACTATTTTAAACGCATCTATTCCATCGAACTTGTCATGAGATAAAGGATACAACCGATACTCATATCTTGACTTACAACGAGAAATTGACAATGAGGGTAGATTGAAAACAAAAGTTTACGGCAAAAGAGATGATTTCAGCATTCCAGTTGTGAACTTCCCATTTCTATGTAGCATCATTCCAGTAGCGCCTGCATACGGAGTACATATCTCCCAGCTGATACGATATTCCAGGGCTTGTATTTCCTATCATGATTTTCTTGATAGAGTGTTGCTGCTCACAAGAAGCTATTAAACCAAGAGTTTCAAGTGGTGAAGTAGAAATCATCCCTTCGTAAATTTTACGGATGCCATCACGAGTTGGTTGACCGGTATGGAATATCCGTTTCACAGATGACAACGGTTATGTTCCAATTGTCGTAACTACAATCCCGTCCTCTTTTCGGCGAATGTAGTTACTGAATAAGACTTATCACCGGGTATGTACTAACATGAGCAACACGACGAATGCCACATGTGGAACAGGATCTACTAACCCTTCCTGATATCACCCCCAATTTTGGTTGGGTTCGTGTTGTCCA